CATCAAGAATCAGAAGCCGATATCTTCCTAGGGTGCGTGTTGCAGTATGCTTCTCAAAGATCTTTTCTAACCAGAATAAACCAAGCTCATTATTGGTCCATCCATTATCACTTAGACCAATCAGCCACTCAGGGTCGATGTCTTGATACCATTGAGATTGATGGACCTTGCCAGAGAAGATGATTATAGGGGGGAGAGACCATCCAGAAGCATTGATAGATTCAATGACAGTCACCCATTCGCGATTCCCTGGCTGTACGGCTCGTACACGGCTTGTTCGGTGATTTCACCTTTCCAGGGCGAGATGCGCCGGCGGCTATGGGCGACAGTGCTAATGAGTGATATTCTCATCTCCAACCAGATGGGCATGCCGCGGATGATTTCTGACTGGCAGTACGATACTGCGGAGCCGCGGAATCTCAATGATGCAGATTTCGACGAGAATACCGCAGAGTTGCCTCAACCGCGACCCGAAAATGAGCACAGACGGCCCTGGGTATCATCGCGCGTAGGCGTATGTTGGAGGCGCTCGGCATCATTACAGACCTCACAAGTGCAGTGAAGCCCTGCAGCTACGCAGAAGTCATGCAAGTAGATGGTCTATTACACAAAGCAGCTGCAAGCATTCCGCCGCCCCTGCAGATGAAGCCCATGGCAGCTAGTGTAACAGATTCTCCCCAGGTCATTCTGGCCCGGCTATTCATCAGGCATATGTTCTATAAAGGACAGGTCATGCTACACCGGCGATTTCTTTACATGCGGTCCCCATCTCAGAATGATGATGTTTTCGACTATTCCCGGAAGGCTTGCCTCGACGCCTCGCTGGAAACTCTTGCGATTCAGCACATACTCGACGAGGAAACCTGTCCCGGAGGCCAGCTTCATACGATGCGCTGGCGAGTCACCTCCATAATGAACCACCAATTTCTCACGGCCACTATGATCCTGTCCTCGTTATTGTATCACGGGCGGACGCTACAGCGGGAAGATGAGATTCGCGGTGCGCTGCAGGGAGCGAGGACAGTATGGATGCGCAGGATCTCGACTTCTAAAGAGGCGAAGAAGGCCGCTGAAACGAGCAATATCGTGCTTTCCAGAACTGGAAAACGCCGGGAAGGGGATTGTCGGCCTAACGAAGACGCCAGCAGAGAGGCTGGGGGTTTAAGCTCCCAAATGAATCCTCCGATTACGCAAGACGCACTTTTTGGCATTAGTGTTGATGGAGAAAAGGGGCTAACAGATAGCATCAGTTTCTATGAGCGTGAGTCTCCGATTAACACACCCAAATAGTTTGAGCTGACCATACTGCAGCTGACCCATTCATCATGCCCGATTTCCTGGGTAATTTCCTGCCACCTGATCTGCAGGGTCAGGATTTGAGCTTTAGCGTTAATAGTCCTAGGCTCTTTTTGGACGAACTGATGCCTACGAACTGGCCCGGATCGGGCTGAGCTTAAACCACTGATGCTAAGTTCTATCTCGTGTTGCCTCGTTAGTGGTGTGAGAGAACGAAGAAGGACCAATAGTCCACCGGTCAATTCTGATTGCTCATCACCTCACCAGTCAGGTGGGATCAGGGCTGGGTCCAGAGGATGGAAGAGTACCTCTGAATCGTCGCGATCATGCTCGAAAATGAAGGGCCGGCTTCACACTTCATCGAGTTCCTACGGTTGTCGTCGTGGCAGGCCATCCAGCCATACTCAGCGATATAATTTTGCAACCTCACGCAGCGCTCGTAGTCGAGGGGGCCATTGGTGCGTGTCGGATTCGACTCTTTGACACCAGGGCATCATCGATATCCAGTAGCGGATGCGGGGCACTCATGGCGGTGGTACTATTGGAATCTTGTTCTCAGGGGACCAAAGAGCCAGGTCAGAAGAATTCTTGATATTAATGCCCTGTCAATGAGGAATGATAGAAAGCCGAGGAAAGGAAAACGGCGTGTCGAGCGACTACAATTGCATTACATACTGCGGAAAGATGGGGCCTAGATCTCCATGGAATTTCCTCACTCATGCTTTCGGATATGATCGAAATGTGGAAATAAGGTGATGGTATGACTGGAAAATATCCATTACTATCAATACCCCTAATTCTTATTCGTGGATGAAGCCTCACAAGAAATCCCCTAAAATGTCCAAAACGCCTTCATCTGTCTAATCATCAATATACGCTCAGTGATTGTGTCTGGGCTCGAATCGCTGGGCTAGTCTTTGATACTTGACTGACTCGCGGAGCACCATCCCCTCACTCAGTTGCGTCGTTTCCCTCCTGAATAATTCCTGCCAGGGAGTCTGGCTCTCAGGAACAGAGTAACCGCCATGCGCCTCCAGCTCCTCCTTTCGTTTCTGCAGTTCCTCCGCGGGTACCAGGATGTCGACGCGCCGTTTGTTGAGATCAACACGGAGTCTGTCCCCGTCTCGAAGAAGAGCCAGGTTGCCGCCAGCCGCCGCTTCAGGGGAGGCGTTCAGGATCGACGGCGAGCCAGACGTGCCAGACTGTCGACCATCCCCGATGCACGGAAGCGAGTGGACCCCCTGCCGTAGAAGCCGTCCGGGAGGATGCATGTTGACGACTTCTGCCGCGCCGGGGTACCCCAGGGGTCCCGCACCGCGCATAATGAGGATACTCCTATCGTCGATTGGCGTGTTGGGATCATCAAGGCGACTATTGTAATCCTCCGGCCCGTCGAAGACGACCACCAAGCCTTCGAACGCGTTCGGATCGTCTGGGTTTTCGAGGAACTTTTGCCTGAATTCATCGGATATCACGCATGTTTTCATGATAGCGGAGTTGAACAGGGTGCCCTGGAGGTGTAAGAAGCCGGCGTCTTTCATGAGCGGGTCGTCGTAGGCTCTGATCATGCGGCGGTCCCACGTGTGCTTTCCTTGTACGTTCTCCTTCACGGTGCGGCCATTGCACGTTAGAATGTCGGCGTGCAGTTTGCCCGCGTCGAGCAGCTCGGCCATGACGGCTGGCAAGCCGCCGGCGCGGTAGTATTCTTCGCCCAGTAGCTCTCCTGCTGGCTGCATGTTCACCAGAAGAGGGATGTGGAATCCCAGTCGATCCCAGTCATCTAGCGAAAGGTCCACTCCGATGTGCTTAGCGATGGCGCCAATATGGATTGGAGCGTTGGTGCTGCCACCGATCGCGGTGTTGACGACGATGGCATTTTCAAAGGCCTCGCGAGTCATGATATCGCTGGGTTTGCGATCGGCATGCACCATCTCAACGATCTGCAAGCCTGTGTCGTAGGCGCACTGTCCTCGTTCGCGGTACGGGGCAGGAATGGCAGCCGACCCAGGCAGCGCCATCCCCAGGGCCTCGGCAAGTGCGTTCATGGTTGAGGCGGTTCCCATTGTGTTGCAGTGTCCTACGGATGGTGCTCTGAGAAGAGTCAGAATACCTGAGGCCTCTGAGTGAGGTCATTAACATACCCTCGGGACACGTAATCGATGAACTCCTCTCTGCTGATCTCGCCCGCGGCATACTTCTCCCTGCCTTTCCATACCACCATACCGGAGCCGGCGAGCTCGCTCTTCACATACCCATTGAGCATGGGACCGACATTGAGACATATTGCGGGGATGTTCTGTAGAAAAGTGTCAGACACTGTTAGGCACGAGAAAGTGCAAGCAAAGGCCACATACAACTGTAGCAGCAGCCATCAGAGCCGCCGGCGTCGTCTTGTCGCAGCCAGTGAGCAGCACAACACCATCCAGGAAATACCCATGAAGAATCTCAACCAAGCCCAAGTACGACAGATTCCGATCGATACACGCAGTCGGCCGCCTGGTGCTCTCCTGGATAGGATGCGTGGGAAACTCAAAGGGAATCCCACCAGCTGTCCTGATGCCTTCTCGCACCCGCTTCACCAGCTCGAGATGATGGCGATTACACGGCGACAAGTCCGAGCCGGACTGCGCTATCCCGATAATCGGCTTCCCAGACATGAGCTCCTCCTTGGTCATCCCGTAGTTCAGATACCGCTCGATATAGAGCGCCATCATACCGGGGTTGCTCTCGCAATTGAACCAATTGGCGGACCGCAGCTCACGGCCAGCCCGTGACACCTTCGCGGAGCCATTCGTCATGGACGCCAGCGATTTCTCCAGCTCGAGAGTGCGCCTCCGGAGAGCAAGCAGTTCGGCCTCGCAATCTTCGATGTTCACCGGCGCGCGATCCGCACCGGTATCGCAGGAGCAGCCTTCGCATGAGGCCTGTGTATTGCACGGCATGGTCAAGTAGGAATATGAATCGTGCCTTTTGATGATCTCGAGCACCAGCCTGGTATAAGGAAATGATGCTGAATGATGTATGATGGGGACAGGGAAACCTTAATTGACGAAATGCCGATAACGCGGAGATGCTCCGACCGGCGTGCCGAAATCTATATTGCTGACGAGAGTATCGATACTAAGGACCCGACCAGGGACCAAGGGAGACGAATGCTAATTTAAATAACAGAGAAGAGATCCAGGCCTGCCCTTTGCATCAGGTCCTCAGAGGCTCCAATTCAGAAATGATGGATGACTGATGAATCAATCCCAGTCCCAAGAAAATCGATGCCGCCGGTACAGATACCCCACGCTACTGGAAACCGGGGCATGGGGGTCGCATCGGGCAATGACATGGAGTTATCAAGCAGAGAGAAAGTATGATGATGATGCCGGGTGACAATGCGGTCTTTTATACTCCTGGGAGCAGCTTCAGACTGAGAAAAAAAAAGCAATATGGGCCAAACAAAGAGGTCGTTTGCATTGCGGCTCAGGTGACTGATATTGCTTTTTGCTTGATCATGATTCTTTTTGTCGGATTCCCTGGCTAACAAGAATGGAAGAAATACAAAGAGCAGATGGAATTAGGCATTGATCATTTCATAGTTCTTAGTCGACTGATCCCACTTCATTTCTGCAATACTATGTATAAATGTCTCACCCCACTCCATGGAGTCATCCCACATTGTCTACCCCACGCTCCACGGCGCACGCGACCCAGCAACTGGTTGCTCGCTTGAGGCCTTTTCAACTCCATTGCAGGTCTATAACTTCCCTTCATTGGGTTTAGTTCTAGTATGATGAAGCAATCTTCTCGGATAAGACAGGAACGATAAGGTCAATCGAAGCTTTCCCATGAAAACAGGCCAGTATGTGACCGCATACCCTAAATCAATTCCGCAACGCCTGCGATGCCAAAGAGAAGGGGGCTTGCCTCAGCTTGGATCGAGCATATCTACCAGAAAAGCACAGAGCAGAGGAGAAGGAAGCGAAACGGGAAAGAATCTACTGAGTCGCACACTGCGCCGGCTCTTCGTCCTCGTCCTCGTCTTCCCATGCGGAGCCACCATGCGGATCGCGGCCTCCAAAGTCATCTAGGTTTCCTTTAGGGTCATACTCGACTTCGTCCACCGTGTCGGCCTGGATCAATGGATCGGGCTTGGGCAGCATCTCGCGGAGTTTCTCCAGGACGGCTGGACTGGGCTTCCACTTCGCATCGGGGAACTTGATGTTGACAACCAGGTACAGGTCACCCCGGGCATCGCTGCGCTTGACCGGCATGCCTTCTCCGGGCACCTTCAGAACCTGGCCGGGTGATAGTACCTCCCCGGGGGTCTTGGGATGAGTGATTTCGATGCCTCGGCCGTCGAGATGTTTGACAACCACGCGCGAGAAGCCTGTCAGCGCTTCGGCCAATGTGACATCGATGGTGGCTGTGAGATCTGCGCCGGCTCGTCGGAAAGTTGGGTGGTCCTCTTCCACAATGTGGAAGATGATGTCACCAGGTTCCTGGCCCGGTGACTGATCCGCCTCGCCTTCCAACACGATTTTATCTCCTTCTCTAAGCAAGATATTAGCCAGAAGATTTCTCATCCGAGAGCTCATGTATGCATCTGTGACTCACTTTGCTCCCCGGGGAATGTAGATCTCCAGCATTTTCTTCTCCTCCACGGTCTTGTTGCCTTTGCACTTCTTGCATTTGTCCTTGGGACTGAAGAATTCTCCCTGTCCATTGCAGGTCGAACAGGTCACCGTCGATGGCGTAAGGAACTGTCCCATCCGCGTCAAGATTTGCTTGAAACCTGTAGTCCAAATCAACTCGAGATGTTCCTGAAAGTCAGAACCACTTCTGCCTCATACCTTGTCCATCACATGTAGAGCACTTCTTAGCCGTCGCTCTTTCCTTGCCACCTTTACCCTGACACAGACTGCAAATGACATTCTTCGTGCTAGCAAACTTGACCGTCTTGCCCTTGTAGAGGTCCTCTAACCGCACCTCGTACTTCGTGTTCTCGTCCGGGCTCCGTCGAGGCTTGGGAGGCCGTCCGCCAGGCATGCCGCCCATGCCGCCCATGCCGGGCATCCCACCACCCATCCCGAACATCTGGGCCAGAATGTCGTCTAGATCCGGTCCTCCAGCCATGCCGGGCTCGCCGGAGCCATTGAAAGCAGACATGCCATGGGTATCATAAAGGTGTCGTTTATCTTCATCGTAAAGGATATCGTAGGCTTCTTGGACGGCTTTGAATCGTACCTCTGCGGCTTCTCGTTCGGCCTCGGGCACCTTATCGGGGTGACTTGCAAGTGCAGCCTGTACTTTGACCATCGGATCAGTATTCTTTGTTCTGCTCCCAGCTGGAATGAGGATGGTGTGCGCTTCCGACCTTGCGATAAGCCTTCCGGATCTCGTCCTTAGTTGCGCTTCTGGAGATCTCTAGGACCTCTGCATGGGTACGTTGCTGTCAGCTATTGTTCAGGCCATTGAATAGCAGGAGAAATACCATAGAGGTCGATCTCGACACCAGCCATCTGGTAAGTGTAAGCGATTGTTCATGATAGAGAGACTGTCCAACACAAGCATACTGGACAAGGCTGAGTTCCGACACGGGAAAGATTTCCCCTCCTCCAAGCACGCCGAGAAACCTAACAGCGGGGTTGATGGTGCTTATCCCACAAAAGACAGGCACTCTGGAAGAGAATTACAAAGGAAAAGAACAGTGAAAGATATCTGCTGATGAAGGGGGATGTTTTGTGTTTGGCTGTGACTGATACTGATTATTGCTCTTTGATGCGGAACCCCAGAATTTTAGCCCGCTTTTTTTCGCAGTCGGCGGCTTTTTTTGCAGATCCTCCGACCGACCCTGCGCTTTGCTGCGGTCGAATGACAATCCGCGTATTTCGATCTAAAGGTACTGCACAGCTTCGCGGCTAGCATTGTGTTCAGCTTTCCGCATCATGAGACACCCTCATCTGGGGCTCCTGGCCCGTCGGTCGTGGATCTGCACGCGATGCAGAACAGCCAACTACTCCTCCGTCGCGCCAGCCCGCGCTGGCAACAGGTCCAAGAAGAACCTCCCCGATGCACCGGCCAGAACCCGGTTCGCACCGTCACCGACCGGATACCTTCATCTTGGATCCTTGCGGACAGCATTGTTCAATTACCTCCTAGCGAAAAGGACGGGGGGCCAGTTCCTACTGCGGATCGAGGATACAGATCAGGTTCGGCCTCGAAGCGAGCACGGGGGTTTACAATGTCGATAAGGGCTGACGAAGGGTGCAGAAACGGACAATACCCGGTGCAGAGCAGCGGTTGTACGAGGATTTACAATGGGCTGGGTTACAATGGGATGAAGGTCCGACGTCCCGCGCGGATGTCAAACCGGGATGGAGGTGCTGATGCGGGTTGTTTCTCACAGGTCCGCTGGTCGGAGGTCCATACGGTCCATACAGACAGGTAAGCGCCCAGAAATATGGGAACCAATGCTATGAGACGGGTGCTGAGATGGTCCGTTGCAGTCCGAACGAACGGCCATTTACCGCGAACACGCCAACCACTTGGTCAAAACCGGCCACGCATACCGATGTTTTTGCTCTACGGAACGGCTCGACTCGCTCGCGAGACATCGCAGTCAGGCTGGTCTACCTCCTGGTTACGACAGACAGTGTGCAGACATTCCCGCCGAGGAGTCGGAGGATAGAGCCGCAAAGGGCGAAGCGCATGTCGTGCGCTTGAAAGTAGAGGGCTATCCCATGTTCGATGACCTGGTCTATGGCAAGACCGGTCAGAATCGCCCGATCAACAAGCTGGATCTCATTGAGCGAGTCTACGACGACCCTATCCTGCTCAAATCTGACGGACACCCGACCTACCATCTGGCCAATGTGGTGGACGATCATTGCATGAAGATCACCCATGTGATCAGGGGAACCGTTAGTATGAATCCCGGGAGACAAACTGCAGATGTTGACCCGTACAGGAATGGATGCCCTCGACACCAATGCACGTCGCCCTGTATAACGCCTTCAATTGGACGCCTCCCCGCTTCGGCCATGTTCCCCTTCTTGTAGACAGATCCGGCCAGAAGCTGAGCAAACGAAATGCAGACATCGATCTCAGCTTCTTCAAGGATAATCAGGGCGTGTTCGCAGCCACGCTTGTCAACTTCGCCGCTCTTCTGGGCTGGTCGCACACCCAAAAGTCCGATGTCTTCAGTCTCGAGGAACTGGAGCAACTCGTAAGTTGATCTGAAGTCTTCCAGCCACAATCGCTATGCTCACAAACACCCAGTTCGACCTGAAAATCACCCGCGGCAACACCGTAGTCGCCTTCGAAAAGCTCTGGTTCCTGCAAAAGGCACACGCGCAGCGATTCGCCGCCACCGGGGGCCCCGTCTTCGACGAAATGGTCGCCAAGGTCTCTCAGGCCGTCGAAGAAACCTCCCCAGCAGACCAACTGTGCGTACATCATCCCAGTACCCTTCAAGACTACCAACTCACCCTTCCACAGCACTACCATCCTCGACGCTCGCCCCTTGACAGAATACATCCCCCCACTCCTCAAAGCTGACGCAAAATCCTACACCAACGCCCCGGAATTCGTCCAGCGCAACTCAACATTCTTCACCACCGCTCTCAACAGACCGCCCTACACCCCTATCCCGACCCCCAACGGCACCACCATCCCCATCACAGCCCTACATACCGCCGCCGCAGCCCTCACCCTCGTCCCAGCCTCGCACTGGACCATCGAAACGCACCGCTCCAACATCGCCTCGTACGACGGCTCGGCCGCCGTCCTGCCCGCTTCCCCGGGAGGAGGTGCAACCGAGAGCGCAGACGCAGACGCGGAAAAGACCCGGGTAAACGCAGACAAGGCCTTCAAGAAAGAGTTGTACCACTACCTGCGCTGGGCTTTGTCGGCCGGTGCGCCGGGCCCCGGGATTCCCGAGACGATGGAGATCCTGGGCCGGGCAGAATCACTTCGCAGACTTCAAGAGGCAAGGGAGCTCACGGCTGACGTGTCGCCTATCCGTGTCCCAAAGAGAGCTCAGTCGCAGCAGAGCGAGGATACAACCTGGATGGGCTCTCTTGCTCCACTGTCCTAGATAGGTCTTGTCTCTGATTTCTTCTCGTCACCTTGGTGTATTTTACCTCACAGGATTCTGTACTATATTGAACATTATACGGCAAGCGTCCACCACTGAGTCTTAGCCATTCAGCTAGCAGGTGCCATGTAAAGCATAAGTATTCCAGTAGTCCGAATAGGGAACAAATATCTCATTAAAAAGCATATCGACGAAATGCGCTACACTGATATCGTAATCCATGAAAATAGCATGCTATGCGACGTGTACAATACCGAAGAAATCCCAGGAAAAAAAGACGCAGAACCCAACCAAACCAAGGAGCATGGAAACAGAATATGATCACAGGGACCGGGGAATTCAAAAGGCAAATTAAGCGCGGTTGCCGAACATAAGAACTGGCGCCAGCCAAGGACCTTGCACTTCCTCCTGGTTGGAAGTTCAAGGCTGATTATTCAAACGCAAACGAAGCATAGTACACGAAAGCCGTCGTTCTGTCTCTTTCGACAGTTGGAGCGGGAAAAGGAAAGCCACTAACATATCATCTCCTGCGTGGAGGGCATAGCAGGGTTGCAGAAGGAGCCATAAGGAAGGAGCCCACAACCTGGAGAGTCTAATCAAGAAGAACGTCACAAACGTGGTATAATCCAAATTTTGACGCAGAGAATCATCAAAGATGCTGTTTTGGAACAACTTTGGTGTCACCCGCAAGGTCAAAGGCGAGTTGACCCTGCTCTGCGCAACGGGGGATTGAATTGAGGTGTATCAACCATGGTCAGAATCGTGGATCGTCAATGTCAAGCAGTGCCACTAATGCCCCGGGCTTGAATGAGTAGACGCTGCAAACAAGAAGCAGAAGAAAGGAAGCTTCTAGTATGCCTCCATGTCATCCGTCCAACCAGCATCACTGCCAGCTACTCTGACCATCTGGCCGTGATGGTTGTCAATCGGCTCCTCTGGGCTAACGCTCCTAATACCCTTGGCCTTTTTTCCCGCAAGAGATGCGTTTTCTTCAGGGGCGAATCGCTTGTTATGAGCAGCACGAAGCTTGGCATAGTAGACATCACTAGCATCGGCTTCGGAGTCGGACCCGTCATCAAACGTTTCCCAGTTTTCAGACCCTGTGTTCGCCGTGTCAACGGTTGAGGAGTTTGAAACCTGTCTAGGTGCCGGTGGAGGAGGCGCATGTTGCAAGTAAGGATTTGGTCGTGGGAAATTCTGAACAGATGAAGCCAAAGATATCGATGAGGCTGAGGACTGCGAGGACTGAGAGAAGCCGGTAGATCGCTGTGAGAAGATAGAAGAGCTCATGAATGATCGCTGATTCCGATCGTCGTAGACGTCCTCGGGGCTGACAGGCCGAACGAAAGCATTAGACATTGCGCTAGCACATCTCGGAGGATCCATTGAATAGAGCCCTCTTTCCTCTTTCGTGTCAATCGTCAATGCACGCATCCTAGGTGGGGGAGCCCGTGGTGCTGGAATCTTGCCACTCAGCGTGCTGGAAGAATAAGAGCCTGGGGCTGCGCGATGGCCGCCGGAGTTGTTTCCGTAAGGCATGTTACTGAGGGGCACCCGGGCCGGAATCTTTGATGGTGATTTCGCCCCGGTCCTAGATGGGCCGATAGTGTTGTATTTCGTCGGACCATTTCCAGTAGGCGTTTTGGTGGCGGAGCGAGGAGGAGGGGGCCCTCTCATGACACTCGCCGGACGAGAAGGCGGTTGTGACCTTCCAAAGCCTGCCTTCGAATTGGCCGAGGGTGGAGCGGAGGGTGTCTTGGAGCGTGGAGGAGGTTTGGCAACGACTGGGGTGAGTTCGTCGAGATATCTCTCACCGTGAACAAGGAATGGCCTGCCGTACTCTTCCTCCCATCTTTCCAACTCTTTTCGAAGGTCTGCTTCGACTTTGGGCAACTCTTTGGTGATCCTCTTTCTCATCTTCTCCTCTCTCAAGAGCTTACCAGGGTCACGTCTCTCTCCCTTGTTGCCGCGCGCCATGAGACGTGAGGCATCTTGACTCGAAATAGCCAGGGCTTCTCGCTCCGAAAGAAGACTCTTATGCTTCTCGATGAGCTGCAGCGTTGGAGCACGTTGCTCTTTCAGCGCCTCCAGCCGAGCAATTTCTGCCTCGTGTGCTTCGAGAAGCGCGTCGCTGTAGACATCAGAAAAGGCAGGGGTAAAGTCAAGCATTTCTTCTTCGCAAAAATAGAGCCCATCCCAGAGTTCCTGCAGTCGGCAGCGC